CCCCCCCCTTTTAACGTTACATTAGTTGTCTCCACTCAGTCTTCTTTTTTTTGTGAGAAGGTGATAACCATCTCTTCATTGAGCATCAATAGGTTGGGCATCTTCCTAGACAATATCAGTGTGGGCTCTAGGTCATGCATGAATGTGAAATTTGTCTTCTCATCCCGCTTCTTCTTGCAGCATTCTACTGCATAGTGCCCGTATTTTCCACAAGAGTAACCCTTGATCATACTCTTGTTCTCCAATGGTTGGCATCGTCATAGATTTGTGAGGTATTGTGACGACCTCTTATATCACCACTTTTATGGCCAAGACCGCGACCATGCCCATGACCTCTACTTTCCTTGTTGTGGTCACCATGTACCTTCATACCTCAAAAAGAAGAATCAGTCACATCTTTCCTTTTTTTCCATGCGAGTCACTCCTCATTGTCTGTAAGAGATGGTTCTCCTCCTTTCTGTCATCGTAGCCACATAGTCTCTCCTCATGGATCTTAAGATGACCAATGACCTCCTCAACCGACATGTTCTTAAGGTTGCCAAACTACTTAATGGAGGTAACAATCTGCATGAATCTCGAGGGAACATCTCAAATGAACTTCTTAAAGATGGAGATCTCATCCACCTCGTCGCCTAACAAACAGATGTCGCTGATGATGGTCGTCAACTTCATGGAAAAATTGTAGATGGACTAACTGTCCTTCATGCATATAGCCTCAAATTCACTTTTCAAGGTCTACACTGTAATGACCCTAAATTTTCTACTTAATCTAAGGACTACTATATTCATATCATGAACATTGAATGTGGAAATAGTTAAAAACTTTCATAAAACATAACCTTTCTCTTAAAACAGAGTCATGGACTTATGTCTTCGACAACATCTTTAAAACGACAATAAATTAAATGAAATAAATAAACATTTAAATTAAAAACACCTGGTTCTAACCTAATTCTAAGAAAATAAATGCAACTACCCTATGCATGTGTCATGGTCTCGAGTTAACCGTACAGGGATGTCTTGTCTTTACCTAAAATTTGTAGCACGTGGCTTGAGTATTTTAAGAAATAATCATTAAGTGACCCCACCATTAGTGTTAAATGCAACCACATACAATTTCAAGAATGTGAATCATAATATTCTATTTTCCTACAGTGGCTATCCTAGCGGGCAATTCGGATATGTTCTTAATTTCCTTACACACGGTCCACACGTGCGAATATGGACTCACCAGTCAGTTTGCACACCTCCTGGGCCCTCTTTCCGATCGGGCGAGCATTCTCTGGGAGTTGTTGATGCCGAACACCCGTTAGGAATATCGACCATCATGGCAGCATTATGTAAACATAATGATCTCTCCCCTGTCTAGTAGTATACGCATTTGTACTATCGTGAAGGAATAGGGGTATCTCCCCATACATGAACGTAATGCATGAGGTCTCAATATTTTTTCATTTTCATTATCATTCAATACAACCCCCTAACGTCTTCCTTCATCTCATATCATTCTATCATATCATTTATCATATTCACATGCTATATCGGGGTTGTATTTCATGCTAGTTCGTCGTTTTGCATGTCAACATATATCATATCATAACATTTACACGTTTTTAGACATAAAAATCCATATCATACACATATTGTATCATATCGTAAATCAATACAATCACATAGCATATCTCGAGCATGTCTTCAACATATCTTATCATAGCTATATCAATTCATCAAACCTATCATACCATAACATATATCATATCATTCTCAAATTATATTACGATATATATAAATACATACATTGTTCCCATATCCTGACCATTTCGTATCTTTATCATTCCATATACCTATCCTGGTCATATCGTTTCTTAAACTTATTCTAACCACATCGTCTTAGCAGTCTATCATAATCATATCGTTTTCTATACATAACTTTGTTGTACCATTTTATCAATCTATCATAACCATAACATTTTTTTATACATAGCCTTCTCGTATCATTTTATCAATTTATCATAACTATAGCATTTTCTATACTTAAGCTCATTGGATCGTTTTATCAATCTATCATAACCATAGCATTTTCTATATAACATTATCGTATCGTTTTATCAATCTATCATAACCATAGCATTTTCTATACATAACCTTATCATATCGTTTTATCAATCTATCATAACCATAGCGTTGTACAAGTCTTATCGTATTGTTTTATCAAGCTATCATAAGCATAGTGTTTTCTATACATAACCTTATCGTATCGTCTTATCAATCTATCATAACCATAGCGTTGTCTATACAAGTCTTATCGGATTGTTTTATCAATCTATCATAACCATAGTGTTTTCTATACATAACCTTATTGTATCGTCTTATCAATCAATCATAATCATAGCGTTTTCGTGAACATATCTTAGTTCTATTGTTACATTATGTTTATCACATCCTTCTCGTCTTCTATCTCAAACATATAATTGGACACATCATACCGTAAGTGTTATCATAAAATTCACATATAATAACATATATATATATATCATTTCATAGTCATATCGATTCACAAACAATT